CAATATTACAAGAAAATGGTATGAATTATAATAATACAAAATTAAATTTGTCCTTGGTGAACCATTACATATGTTAGGCAAGTTAGACTTCATATTCACAAAAAAAAAACCAACCAAATAGATGCCTGGAAAGCATGTACCACCCCAAAGATAAAATAATGATACAAAAAAACTATAGAAACATTATGATTAAAAATTCATCTTAACAAAATGAAGTCAAACATAACTTGAGCTCGCAACATTAATAGAGAGCACCAAATTTCCTATTTGTCTGGAAAAGTTTAGAAAACTATAGTGAGAGTCCTAAAAGGCTATGCTATTACAACTCGTCCTGGAGACTAAGAGACCATTTTGAGCAACTCTTGTACAAATCCCAGATAAAACAGCCATGACTCATTTTTAAGCTTAAAAGTATACTAAACTTGGATTGAACTCCACATGTGTAAACTACCATACCTTTTCAAAACTTAAACACAAATTTTATCCAAAAACAACAGAAATTATGGACGATACTGCTACCATGTAGAACAAACTTTAACATTTTATGACAAGTTTAAAATGCTAATTAGAGGGCTAAAGAAATGGTGTTAAAGGATTAACCAAGTACTATCTTCTAATAGTATCGTTAAGGTTTATGTTCGGAACAAATAAACTATGTTGAATATGTTAGGATGCTCACTTCAATCATGAAGATAAAGAACTCATTCCAAATGAACTATAAGTGGAATTGTAACACTTCATCTGAAATTCTGTCAGAATTGACTTGAAACTGAATGTCTATCCTTCATTTTACTTTAGAAATTCACTTGGAATCAATTTTGTCTTTCAAGGTTTGACTAACAACGATCGGGCTTGACTGCCTTACCATATGCATTTCAAGAAGAATTTGACAAAAAATTATTTCGTGAACATATCCTAAAAACATTATGCAATTAAAAGTTCACCATCTCCACTTTCCTTGTTATCATTGACCTCGTGATTATTCTTCAACAGCTCCTCGACAAGACAAGCCAATCACAGAAGAACAGGTTTCTGGTTGATGAACATTACCAAAAATTTGACAGGTTTCTGATTTACCGATCTGAGAACTAGAATTTAGACTTTAACGAAGGCAAATAGTTTATTACATAAGTAATATGAAGGAAAACAAGCATAACATAAATGAAATTCTATTAAATTCATTTCTGATTTCCTAACCTGAGAATTAGAAGACCTCACAACATTTTTCGACACTAGAAAGTACTCTTCCGGTGAAAATCAGTTAATTAAACAACATTATTATCGTACGGAACCAAAGACCAGAAATGACTAGAAAACCTAAGCACGAACACTCGACGTACCTTGGTACCGCGTTGGCGGACTATAATGGCGCCGGGCTTGGCGACCTGATCTCCAAAAATCTTGACGCCGAGCCGTTTTCCCCTCGAGTCACGGCCGTTCTTGGTGCTTCCCGCTCCCTTCTTGTGCGCCGACTCGATCGTGAGAGGGAACGGCAACTTCTGTGGCACTGATACGGAGAACGACCTCGGTCCTACATTGATGGCCATCCTCGTGTCTCCTTTAAAAAAAGAGGAGGATGAGCTGGAGGATAAAGAAAGTCCTCTAAATGCCCCAACCAAATTCAGACTCATGTACGCAGTAGTCGCCATTGTCGAATACTCTTTCTTTCTTCTTCCCCAATCTGAAAATGGAAGGTGAAGTAAATTAGAAGAGGTAAGTTTTCGACTGTGTTAAATAATTGAGGTAGGGCTGCGATTTAGGGTTTCGATTGTGCTTACAAAGGAAGGAATCTCCGTTTGCTAGGAAAGGGAGAGAAGACGAACAGGGAGAAGCACTCAAGCCTTATCTATCTCAGAGTTCCAGTGAGAAGAAAATAAATATAAATAAATAAAAGAGAAGGTACAGAGTTTTGACAGTGCCACGTAAGCAAGTGGGTCCCAGCTTGCGAGGAAGAAAGAAGGTAAAAAGATAAATAGAGAGAGAAATGTAAAAGGTAATAGTCCCGCGCGTAAGCAAGTGGTTCCCAGTTCGAGAACTGGTAAAAGAGATTGTGGAGAGTGGGATTTGAACCCACGCCCTTTCGGACCAGAACCTTAATCTGGCGCCTTAGACCAACTCGGCCATCTCCACATTGTTAGAATCGGTCTGCACAATAATTATTTATTAGGATAAAGCTTATGAAATGTTGTAAAAGAAATATTTTTTTAACCGAATAAATTAAATATTTCTTTTTTTTTTTTTTTGAAATAACAAATAAATTAAAAAATTTTAATTTGAAAGTGGACATGTAAAATTTGGATTTGGTGAAAAAAAATGAAACCGTACTCTGAAATATGTAATAATGTGGAACAAGTAAAAAAAACTAATAAATATTTTTTTCCAAAAGATTAAAAAAAAAAACGATATTTTTTATATATTTTTTTAATTTCATATAATTTTTGGTGAATGATTCGTCTTCTTTTTTTTGGCACCCATTTTGTGTATAAATTGCAGATTATGGCTTACAGAATAAGTGAGCTTTTGCAAGGGTGAAAAGATAGAATTTGATAAGATTATAGGGTAGATGGTTCCAAACCCTGAATTTTTTTGTTATAAATCATCTTCTCTATGTAATTGTCATCAGAAAAGTACACCGTCCACTGAGAAATACGATCCCAATATATTCCTGTTTTGTTTAGAGACTATCAATTAAAGCACAGAGAGAACAAGATGAAAACAAAGGCATGGGATAAATAAAAAGAGTGATTCATAACACAACTCAAAATCTCAGAAAATGAACACATTCCACCGAAAAATGGTTCCTACTTCGTCGCTCTGTCACCTCCAGAAGATGGTAAAGTTATTTTAACAAGAAGCACAATTCTAAAGAAAGAGATTGAGGTAAAATTACTGCAAGAGAGAAAATTACTGATAGAGCCACAGGTGAACTACATAAAGTCTTACTGGGCAACTGAGTGAAAACTACCTTGGCCTAAATAAAGGCGAAACTCTCCTTCGAACAATCTCTTGGATCTGCTCCAGTGAAAAGATCATTGCAGCATTCTCAAAACCTGTTTCTTCCATTTGCTGGTGCAGCTGTAAGGACAGCAAAGGCAAGCTGTAAGGAAGGGCTGTGGTTCTCTACAAGGATCAACTAGTTACTGACGTCATTAGCTAAATCATCTCAAAACTTGGACAACGTTTAAAACAATCAAGAATATTTACGGATTCACTTAAAAACTCAGATAACTTCTCGAAGAGATTGTACAACTATCTAAAATTTAAAAGATAAAAAGAGTTCAGAGATGATTATATGTAAAACTAGAAAAATGCACTTCAAATTCCATCAAGTTCGGTGAAATTTTTCAATTCACTTGAAATTCTTTAATTGGCCAATTTTTATGCTTTCCTGATAAATTCACATCACTTCTCCAAGTCAAAGAAATCTTTATTTTTCAGATGAACCTAACAAAAAATCTTAGTTCGTTCCAAACTTAGTCTTAAAGTCCTGCTTAGTTCAATTCCTATCTTTTTCTATTGTAAAATCAATTTCTACTTTATTCTCTCACTTTCAGAAGTTAAAAAAAATGTTTAACTTAATATAAGAACAAAGGTTATTCAAACGTGAAAAATTATGAAATAATTCTCTATCAAGATTAGTTTAACAACTAAGTATCGGAATAATATAACTGAATAATAATCAAACCAGACACATTACCAATTTAGTAAAAGAATACTCAAGTGACAACTGTTCTTTGTAACCATAGGCTCAACTCCCAAGCAGATCTCCACAATCATGGAGCTGACAGTAATGCTTCTGTGATACTTTGTCTTAAAATTTTTAATTTCTTTCTGTCCCAAAATAAATAGAAGATTTTTTTGTAAATAAAAATAAATAGATAAATTAACAGACTAACACCTTCTCAAGGATAGCAGATTGGTCATCCAAGTGAAATTTCCGCATGTGCTTTAGCATCTCCAGTTGCTGCAGGATATGCCATCTATAGTCAGCCTTACTAGATTTCAATTAGTTTATAATCAACTTCAACAAAGACATACCTCTTCCTGTAGTTTTTGTTGACTACGTAGTCTCTCCTCAAATTCATCTGGTCCAAGCTCAGCCTCATCACAAGCCATCTCCTCACTGTCATTTCATAAAATAATTTAGTACTAGGAAATGGGATTTCTACCGGCTAGAAAACAAAGACAAAAGAATGCCACTAACACATTCAATGAAAGAAAGCACATAGAAAAAGAGATTTATTTCTTTGAGAGAACTAAATCTAAGCATGATTAGCCAAGATACGAAAGCTTCTACTTTTGTTTTGTACAACAAGTACACTAGATCACTAAAATATAAATAGAGGGACATCTCTAACAAACAGACTGACCGAAATCCAAAAGATAAATTTCTAATTATACAGATCATTTGTAAGAATGAATTTCAAGAATGTCACTACCAGCACTTTTGAAGCACTGTGATGTGGTACTAACGTCAATCTGTTTAGCATCTATCTAACTGGTCATGCATAAAATTGTCATTGCTTTACGCAGCCTTGTCTATTACTTAAATTTTTGTAACAAGCAAAATAACTTGTATTGTGCTTCCAATGCCTCATGGAATAAAGCAGAAATTTGTCAGAACATATTTTGGAGCAGAACATCCAAAACTCAAGTAGCAGATAATTTGGGAGACAAGGAAGAAAAAAAACACCAGACAAAAAGAATGTCCCAAAACTCAGGGAAATGCATTAAAAGAAAAAGAAGACATTCAGAAAATGGATGCCCTTTGTAATTAAAGTACAAACGACTATACCAGCAATCTATGTCATTCATGATTAATGACCCAGCAGTTGTTTTGTGAAAGATCAGAGTTGCTGTAAATTGATATCTATTAAAAAAGTTGCCAGTCTTGAAATGCAGTTCAACTTGAGTATTGCCAGACAATATCCAAAAACAAGAAAGATTACTGACAGCAGCAGTTGTTATAGATTTGGTGGAGCTATTTTGATATTGCCAGAGCCTATTCTGTAGGTTTAGAATACGGTTAGCTGGGTGGCAAGTGACAACATTTTCTGTTTGAAACATTATCACACCCCAATAAATGACATTAAATTACATAACAGAAGTATAAAATAGCCCAATGAATGTCATGAAATCTGCTCAACATTTTTTTGAACGGTACACACACCCCAAATGAATGATATCTAATAAAATGAGGTAAATACGCTCAAACAAACAGACATGAAACTAGATGAAACTTGTTATTTGCCATAACATTTTCTTAAACATAAAAACCCCATTTGAAAGAGGAGAAATTATGTCACAATACCCAAGAAACTAGGTGATAATAATGAGAGAACCAAGTAATCACATTCAAATATTTAATTGTTTCAAAATTTTGTGTTCGATAGCAAAGTTTCAATCATTAAAACTATGAACATGACTGATAATGAAATACCTAAAGAGAAATTTTAAGCTACCAGATAATTCATAAGAATAAAAACATAGCTCATATCAGAAACCCACAAGGTATTATTGATATTTAAGTCAGTTAATGGATTTACCGTCAACTTTTTTACTATCACCGAGGGCTTGGGCTTTTGAAGCACCAGCAAAGTGAAAGCAGTATTATCCATTTGGATATTCATATATTTTTTCATCTCTAGGGCCATTGCTATTAGCCCTTCAGTTGTCTATTAGATTATGGTCTTCTGGCAAGGACTATGAAAGTACTGACTAACTTGTGAATTGGCATTTCAATGCCACTGAAGTCAAAAAGAAAGAGGTCATGTCATTGAGCTTAAAATTGGCAGAATTTTTTTTGTTGAAGCAGAAGATCAAACGCAACATTCCAAGAGAAAGGATGTAAAAAAGAAACAAGAAAAAACAGTCCACTCAAGCAAACCATTACCCTTTGACTTCTATAAAGAGAACATAAGGACCAGGTGATTAATGAATTTAACCAAGAGATAAATCATCATTCAGAAGTGTCAGCGGATGGCACATGAAACAGTACAAATTACAGCATGTCTAACATGTAGTTTCCCGTTATTTCCAAATTCCATTTTATGTGAATTTCACCAGCCAAATAGAAAAAGGAAATTTAAATTAGCACGCAAGAAAATAAGAGCATACTTGACAACAAATTTATAAAAGCGTATCATCAAATCCTGATCATTCTCATGAGTCAGATTCAGCTTCCCAAGGCATGCAATGCCAAAGCTTGGATCTGTATGGAGAGAAGAGAATATAATGCTCATAAATTAGAAATCAAGAGGAAACCCAACAAGAATCCCAAGAATTTCATACTGAAGGCTACTCAACAAAATAGAGAAACTTACCAACCCCCATCTCCAAAAAATTTTCTTCCTGAATTTTAGTAGTAACAGCAACAGCTTCCTACATAACTAAAGATTGCAAAGTTCAGAACGAGATGATATTATGAGTATATAAAGAGAGCCCCCATCACGATATACCAAACAACAAAGTTGAAATGCCTCATTCAAGTATAAGAGACATCTGACTCAAGCAACAGAAATTATTTCTTTCACAAGGCACTCAATATTGACAAGCATTTTCTATCGTAAAGAATACAAGTCTGAATTGTGTCCACTTGACCAACTATCAACCTTTAAAGTGCTATGTACTTAGATGCCCATTAAGAAATTACGGGGAAACCTATGACTTTTTTCCCATGAATAGTTAAATGCCTAAGCTACAAGTTTCCTCAATGAGAGATGGGGAAAACCACTGAAGAAAGAAACTAAAAGCAAAAGAGAATGTTGAGATTAGACCAAAAGAACAATAAACACAACGCTGTCATGGACAAACCTCAAAAGGCAAATTTCTATTACAGAGTTCAACCAATTCCACTTAAAAATAACCTGTTTGCAGATAGTAAAGTCTAAAATACTAGGAAACTCAGTATGAAATAAACTAATCCTCATGACCCAGATAACAAGGCAGCATCTAGGTACCAGAACCAACCAAACACCCACTGTTAACTAGGTAAATGAAAAACCCTATTTAACAATGAAATTAAAGACGTGAATAACTAAGAAAGCTTAAAAAAAGGAATTGGGGAACAAAATTTGGGAAATGATGATAATAACCTGTTTGTCCTTGACAGCATCCGCAATCCGTTTCTTTATATCTGCCAACGATATGCTACTTGTAACAGGAAAAATAGAACGGGAAAATTTTTTAAAGGAGAAACTATTGGGTACAAAAATAAAAAAAAATATATATACCCGGCTGGGAGATAAGGAAACCGAAGCGATCAAAGAGATAAACCAACTGTTCCCTTGATAGTATTCCGGAGGTCTGCAACGAAGGTGGCATTTTGATTGTTCAACGGCAGACACAAAATGCCGGCGTACAACTAAGCCAATCTAAACAAAACCAAACGAGCCCAAGACCACGTTATAGCTCCTCAAATGACACAAATGCCCCACTTTTATACATAGAAAAGGAAAAACTACGGCAAAAGAGAGGCTTAAACTTGAGCCACAAGCTTCAGCAGATGTGAGGTGAACCCATTGTGAATTGGAAAACATCAACAAAAAGTTTTTCTTCCTGTTTACTGCCAGCGAATAGGGAGAAATTTGAACAACGAAAAATTTAAATAAAAAAGTGAAAAGGAAAGGGAGGGGAAGCGAAACCATATGAACTTTATCCATAATATTTATCAGGAAACTTTAATCCTAGAACAAATTAGAAATTCTTTTTATAAGAAATCAAATAAAAAATTAGAAGTTACACCAAGCACAAAGTCAATTACAAAATGACCCTAAAAATCTTCGTCCATCTTGAAAACATGGTTGCCACCATTTCCGTTCAAGCTAGACATGACCGAAGCCTTCTGGTACTCGCCTACTCGCTTCTCGAAAAAGTTGGTCTTACCCTGTAACGAAATCAGCTCCATCCAATCAAATGGATTAGCCACGTTATACATCTTACCATGTCCCAGAGCACCCAGCAGCCGATCTGCTACGAACTCGATGTACTGACTCATGAGATCCCCGTTCATGCCGACCAACGCGCAAGGGAGCGCGTCGCAAACAAATTCCCTCTCGATATCCACGGCATCCCTCACAATCCCCCGCACACGCTCTTCACTCAGCCTATTCCTCAATAATCCGTACAGCAGACACGCGAAGTCGCAATGAAGCCCTTCGTCTCGTGAAATGAGCTCGTTGGAGAAGGTGAGACCAGGCATCAGACCGCGCTTTTTCAGCCAGAAAATCGCGCAGAAGGAACCCGAGAAGAAGATTCCTTCGACACAAGCGAAGGCCACGAGACGCTCGGCAAAGGTCTCCGAGCCGTCGATCCAGCGTAGAGCCCAATCGGCCTTCTTGGCCACGCAAGGGATGGTCTCAACGGCGCGAAAGAGATGATCCTTCTCGCTCGAGTCCTTAATGTAAGTCTCGAGAAGTAGACTGTACATCTCGGAGTGGATATTCTCGATTGCGATTTGGAACCCATAGAAGGCACGAGCCTCAGCCACCTGAACATCAGACATGAAACGAGAAGCGAGATTCTCAAGTACAATTCCATCGGAGGCGGCGAAAAATGCAAGGACGTGAGTGATGAAGTGGCGTTCGTCGTCGTTTAAGGTATTCTCCCAGTCGCGGATATCCTGGGAGAGGTCAACCTCCTCGGCCGTCCAGAACGACGCCTCCGCCTTCTTGTACATTTCCCAGATCTCTGGATACTGAATCGGAAACATGCAGAACCTGTCAGGGTTCGGCTTAAGCAAAGGCTCCTCTGGCATCGAAGGCATCTTTGTTTTAGGGTTTCGCGATTGGAAGGGAAAAATTGTCAGAGGGATTTGGGGAAAAGACAGAAACAGTTGCTACGGAGAAGACTTGCAATGGCGGTGTGGTTTTATAGGGCAAAATTGGAGCGGGTGATTCGAAATTTTTTTGAATTGAGAAGCTTGCTGGGGAAGGAAAAGAAAATGAAAACCTCATGAATGGAGGGTACTTTAGTAATTTTAGTAAAATGTTGGACTGTTTCGGAAAGATAATTAATACTTGGCGGTAAATTTCAGAAGCTTGTTCGAGAATCAAAAGGGTAGTTTAGGAAATGCAAATGAATTATGCTGACGCCAGAATTTTTATTAGTTAAATATTCATATTTATATTTATAAAATATAAAATTCACTTATTATTTTAATTCTATTTTGTTTTGTCATTAATTAATTTTAGATTTTTTTAATTTTTTTAATTTAAATTTTTAGAAATATTTACATATTTTGGGGAGAGGCGTGGGAGGGAAGTTTTTATTTTATTTTTTTTGTTAGTTTCAATTTTGAAATTTCAATATTCTGAATTAATTTTAGCGGGAAGTACGATTGGCGCGAAATAAAAGTGTTTTGAATAGTTTGAATGTCGTCTTTATGGAAAACGGCACGCAGCTGCGTCGTTTTCAAATACTTGTTACTAAAATACACACGTGGTCCCCACGTGTTTGATGCAAGAGGGAGGAGGTTGAGGCGCAGGCTGCCACGTGCCCCTCCTTCTCGCGTTCTCCGCGTGGTTTTTCTTTAATATTATTTTTTTCACTTAATCAAATACTTTTATAGCTTAACTAGTGATGATCACGAGCTACTTATTTTTATTTAATTATTAATTAACTATAAATTTTTATCTATTTTATTCACGACGAATTAAGATAGACTAATATTTTATTGTATATTTGACTTTATAAGTTACCAACTAATAATTTTTTAATATTATATAATTTAGTATGATTCTAAAAATAAACTATTAAATTATTTGAACAAACATAAACTTATATTAAAATCAACAATTGCAATTTATGTATACCATCAGGATGTTCATATGCAAATAAGCTTCAACGTTGGTCATATTCCATCATTGTTTTAAATTTTAAATTTATACAGTTCATAACAATAATTTGATTGCTTATTGTTAAAAAAAGTTGTGAAGATAATGTTAGTGGAATATATGAGGATAACAGGAAATTTAAATAAATACTAATTTTTTGAAATATATCGTTGACATGAGTTATAAATTATTAAATTAGTATTGTAAATTATATATTAAATTAGTGCTGTAAACTGTTATATTAATTGCTAAATTATTATAAAAGTGTTATAAATTATTATATTAGTATCACAATTATAGGAATTTAATTAGCTAATTTGTTGTGTAATAATTTTTATTTCTTTTTATGTGATGTAATTGTATCTATATATTGCATCTGATAATAAAAAGATAATCATCCCTGAATTATTTATAAATTATATTGTTTCATATGATATCATTGTGTTCTCCCTAAATGATCTATTGAATCAAATCTCATATTTCTCTTCGTAAAATTAAATAGCTGAACTAACTCATTTCGTATCTAACAACCAAACACCATTAATTGTTATCCACCAAGATAACTCTACGTTTCCTATCAGTACCATATTAGATGAGACGAATTAATCATTATGGTCTCAGCTTATGGAGATGCAAATTGGTGCTCGAAATAAAGCTGGTTATCTTACTGGAGAAACAAAAAAGCTTGTATCTGAATACCCCAATTACAAAATATGAGTCACGAAAAATTAAAAAGTAAAGAGTTGGCTTATTGACTCAATGAGTCCATCACTCATATGGCGATTTATTCTCCTTTCCACAACAAAGGAAATATGGGAAGTTGTATCAAAAACTTTTTTATGATAGATAAGATGAAACCTGTATATTTGAGTTAAACCAAAAGACATTTTCTACCACACAAAATAGTAGACCATTATCTATTTACTATAATGAACTTGTTGCTATTTTTTAGGAAATTGATCATATGACCCTCTCAAGTATAAACAATCAAAAGTGTTGTCCAGTTGCATTCTAGAATTGTTAGACTTCAAGTTCATATTTTTTTAAGTAGACTTGATTTTGAGTTTGATCAGGTTCATGGAGAAATATTGCGAAAATATCTAAAATTGGGTTAAGAGAATGCATATGCATATGAAAGAAAAAACTACCAACAACGACAGACAATTGGAGGTTTTCAAGTGATCTCAAAAAGTTCATTCATGCTTGTCAACCAAAAATTGCATAGATCATCCTCGACATCAGCAAAAACTCGAAATAATCAAATTGTTGGAAAGTCCAACAGTTTTATATGCAGCCATTGTGGTGAAACAAGTTATTATAAACAACGATGCTATGAAATCATTGGTTATCTTGAATGGTGGGATTTCTCAAAGAAACCATGGAAAAAGATTGCAGGAAAAGCTATGATGACATTGTTTAATAAAGTTGAATATAATACGAAAGATAATTTCTAGCCTATAGCAAATGTTGCTCACCCAGGTATTATTAATCAAACAACTATTTTTTCTGCAACTTCTAAGAATACAACTTTGATTATTGATACAGGTAATTATATGACTAGAGACCCTAGCTAGTTACAATCCATTCGCTCATCTTGTCAATCCGTTATATATACAACTAATGGAAGTACAACCCCTATTACTGGAGAAGGATCTGCTATTTTGTCTAATACACTCACATTGGATACAGTTCTTATTATCTCATCCATTGAATATAACCTTTTATCTGTGAGCCAAACTATCTTATCTTTTTATTGTACAATAACCTTTTTGTCTTCTTTTTGCGTATTTCAGGATATTCTGATCCCAAAGATTCTTGGTTATGGTGTTAAACGAGACAAACTCTACCACTTGAAATTGATAAAAAATGGAATACAAAAAGCTAGTTGTGCATGTCAAACTAGTAATGAAGAGAAAGCTCGAACAAGTATATGGTTATGACATAGAAGATTTGGACATCTTTCTTTTAGATATCTTCAAAAATTACAACTACATTTATTTTTGAACTTGAATGTTTCTGATTTTCATTGTGATCTTTGTAAACTGACTAAAAGTCATCGTATTCCTTACTTACCTAGTATGAATAAATGTTCTGAATCTTTTGTTGTCATACGCTCTGATATTTGGGGCCCTGCAACGGTTCCTTATCTGTTTAAAGCTTTATATTTTGTTACATTCATTAATGAATATACTAGAATGACTTAGGGGTCCTTGCTTAAGAGAAAAATTGATGTTTTCACAGCTTTTCAAACATTTCATAGTTTGGTTGGAACTCAATATCAACGCTATATTCGTGTTTGACAATCTGACAATGTAAAAGAGTTTGTTGATGCAAAGTTTGAAAATTTTCTAAGCCAAAACAGTATTCGACATCATACCTCTTGCACATATACTCCACAATATAATGGGTTGGAAGAGAGAAAAAATAGGCAAATAATAGAGGTGGTTCGTACATCACTTTTTTGTATGAACATGCCTCGGTTCTATTGGGATGAGACTATAAAATCTGTTGTTTATTTAATCAATCGGACACATTCAAGAGTATTGAATTTTCAAACACCACAACAAAAGATGAAATCGTTTTTCTCCATTTCACATGTTCCAAATCTTGAACCAAGAGTTTTTAGATTATTTTATATGTTCTCATTCCTAATAAACTCATAAATAAACTTGATATGTGTGCAAAAAGATGTGTTTTTAATTGTTATTCTGATTTTTAGAAAAAATACCAGTGTTATGACTCTCAAACTCAGAAATTACATGTGACATTGAATGCTTCTTTTCACGAGGCAGAACCTTATTACTCAAGGAAAGTTCATGCACATTTTCTTTAGGGGGAGACATTTGATGAAGAAAATGTGTTACAAAAAAATAGCAGTAAAGGAGATGAAGATGTTTTCTTTGAGGTGAAAAAGATGCATGAAAATGTTGGGAGAAATAGTAATCAAATATGACAAGTAATGATAATGAACTGATGGTTCCTTTTAAAAATATGTCAAAATTGCTAGTAGTTGCAGATTTGCCTTCGATAACACAATTAATCGAAGAATCAACTCAAAATATCCATAATATTTCACATCAGGTAATCCCAAATCCTATATCTAATGAAATAAATTTTTTTTTTGAATTTATGACTCATATATATCCACAAAGATCTAATAAAAGTGCTCAAAATAAACAATATGAACCTAATCCTAAAGCCAAAGTTAAATATTCTATTAATAATTATGTCTCTACTCATAAGTTGTCTGAGTCATATACACTTACTATTAATCAATTATCCAAAGTTTATAGTTATAGTAGTGTGCAGGATGCATTATAGGATCCAAAGTGGAAAAAGGCAATGAACGAGGAGATTGAGGTTTAGTAAAAAAATTCCACATGGGAACTAGTTTCATTACCCAACGAGAAAAAGACTATTGGGTGTAGATGGGTGTACACAGTCAAACTTAAAGTAGACAGAAATATCGATCGATATAAGGCGAAACTAGTTGCAAAGGGGTATACGCAGAAGTATGAGATGGATTACCAAGAGACATTTGCACCAATAGCTAAACTGAATACCATTTGTATTCTCTTGTCTATAGCAGCAATTCGAGATTGGCCTTTGCAATAATTTGATGTTAATAACACATTCATTAATGGAAACTTATAAGAAAAAGTTTATATGGAACTGCCACCAGGATTTATACAAAATTCTTTAAGAAAAAATAAAGTATGTAAATTAAAGAAGTCGTTTTATGGGCTTAAACAATCACCAAAAGCATGGTTTGGAAGGTTTTATGCAACAATGAAAGCTTTTGGTTATAAACAAAGTAATTCATATCATACTTTGTTATAAAGCATAAAGAAGGAAAAGTAACAACTTTAATTGTGTACATTGATAACATAGTTTTAATAAGAGATGATTCTTGTGAAATGAAATTATGACAAGAATATTTGGCTGTTGAATTCGAAATGAAAGATATGAGACAACTTAAATATTTCTTAGGTATTGAAATAGCCAGATCGAAATATGAGATTTTCCTTTCACGACGAAAGCATGCGCTGGATCTTTTGATTAAGACTGGAATGCTTGCTTGTAAGCCAGTAGACATGCCCATGGAAATGAATCACAAGCTTTGAATTTTTTCAAACCAGGCTTTACCAGACATTGGTCAGTATCAACGACTGGTTGGGAGATTAATTTATTTGACACACGCAAAGCTAGATATAGCCTATGCTATAAGTGTTGTGAGCCAATTCATGCATGCAGCAAACGAAAATCATTTAAATACAATATACTGAATATTGAGATACTTAAAGGGTACTCCTGGTAGAATTTTATTATTTTTAAAAAATAGCTCATCAACAATTGAAGGATACACAGATGCAGATTGGGCAGGTGATCAAATGACTAGACCATCCACTTCTGATTATTTTGCTTTCGTGGAAGGTAACCTAGTCACATGGAAAAGCAAAAAACAAAAGGTTGTGGCAAGATCAAGTGCATAAGCTGAATTTCGAGGAATGGCTCATGGAATATGTGAATTATTATGGACCAAGAGTATTTTAGAAGATCTGAGAGTTAAATATGAGAAACCTATGAGTTTTTATTATGACAATACAACTGCTATTAAGATTGCACAAAATTCAACACAACATGATCATACTAAACATATTGAGATCGATAGACACTTCATCAAAGAAAAGTTAGGTAAAAAGATTATACATTTTTTATTTGTTAAATATGAAAATCAATTACTCGACCTTTTCACTAAAGCAATTATTAGAAAGAGATTATCTGAAATGACCAACAAATTGGGCATGATAGATATTTATACTCCAACTCGAGAGGGGAGTATTGACATGAGTTATAAATTACTAAATTATTGCTGTAAATTATATATTCAATTAGTACTGTAAATTGTTATATTAATTGCTAAATTACTAGATTAGTGTTATAAATTATTATATGAGTATTACAATTATAGGAACTTGATTAACTGATTTTTTGTATAATTTTATTTATTTTTTTGTGATGTAATTGTATCTATATATTGGCTCTAAAAATAAAAAAATAATCATCCCTCAATTATTTACAAGTTCTATTGTTGAACATTTATATACATGAAATTGGTAGTGGAGGCATACGTAATTATGAGCTATAATTCAAAACTCACAAATTCATATACTATTGAAAATATTATGCTCGTCATTTATAAACTTACTGTAGATTAACAGCGATGAACACATAATATAATTAATTGACAATAAGTAACTTAACTTATTAATATATTGATAAAATTATAATAATTAAAATGATATTTATTATAACGAGTCATAATGAATCTAAATGACCATAATATCTTACGATGATTGAATTTTTTTACTTGAAAAAAAATAGAATTAAAAATATGACCTTAACATTTTGTTTATTTTTTTCTTAAAAAAAGAAATAAAAGAGATAATGGGAAATGGAGATAAATCGAAATAGTAATATTATTGTTACTATTATTATTACCTCCCATTTTGCAATTAAATCCCTTATCCCATTTTCTCAATTGCCCTTTTTGCCTTTAGAGCCTCTCCAAACCATTTTATTTTCATCCAAATCCGACCCAATTAAAACCCGATATAGATTTTAAACCTAACCCGACCCAACATTTCTTATTAATAAAGTTCAAATAGCACAAAACCTAATTTCCGGCCCAGATTTAAAGCTCAACAACCTAGCCCGTTTTGCTGTAGCCAATTTATCAAGTCCCTGAGACGGCGTCGTTTGCTATTTATGAAGGGGATGGCCGAGCAAAAGGAGGGAGCGTGGAAAAGAGAGGCGGTTTTCAGGGGGAAATCAGAGAGAAAGAGAGAGTGCACTGAGAGGGAAGTCTGCGAAGAAAGTGACGAGAAAACAAAAGCTTTGGTTTACCTGGGAGGCTATCTTTCGGAGAGGAAGAGAAAGGAGAGTGAGCCAAATTATAGAAATCTACATCGAGACCAGTAGTAATATAGTGCCTGATCCTGCTTCAAGATTGTAGAAATTTCATCAAATAATTTTGGTAATTTCATTGAAAACCTAATATACTATAATTTCAGTTTATTCTGAATGTAGTGTTGGTTCTTGATTTTCTTGACATATTTTTTGGCTTATCGAGTTCTTTTAGGTGATAGATATTTGGTATTAGTTTTACTGAAGTTCCAGGCTTGCTAGTTCTCTTTATACAGTTAACTGAAACAAGCAACGCAACTGCAAAATCGGAACCTCTCAAATGAGTGCAGGTATTACATGATAATATTGCATCAAGCAATTTTGTTATAGGATATAATTTCATTCTTATTTTCTACTCCAGATATTTTTTTATTCTACCAATTTTAGTTATTGGGTTATTATAATTGTGGAACTTTTAGTTTCAATATCGTCTTGATTGCCTTGATGCTGGAAGAATATACACTAGTTTATTGAAAAAAGAACGATAAACTAAACGGAGGTAGAGGAATAAATTTAGTTATATTCAAGAATTCAAATTGAAATATGTAAAGAAAAAAGCTCAATTAAATTTTTTTTTACATGTTTGGATCTACTGTACGACATATTTTCTTTTTCACTTTCTAATAAAATGTAGTAATTTCTGGCAGGTGGAGCATTTGGTGGGAATAGGGGACTTAGACCGGTACCCCCAGAAAAGGGTGTCTTCCCTTTAGATCACATGCATGAATGTGACGTGGTAGGTTTCTTCAAAACTCCATTGACAAACTGATTCGAATAATTAATTTCCCTAATATTTGCTATTACCCTTCTCATGTGTTTTTCTTTTTGAAATATCCTCTCTGTTTATAATTTCAAATCTTTTATGTTCCAGGAAAAGAAAGAGTATCTAAGTTGTCTGAAATCATCCAGCCACAAATCTGAGAAATGTAGACACTTATCAAAGAAGTATCTACAATGTCGTATGGAAAAGTGAGCATTGTTTGTTCCCAAATGCATCCTTTTATGGTTTATCTAGTTGTTTTAGAAGGATGTAGGTTTCTTGACAGTTCTTTTTAGTTAGTTCCATGTAAGAGTAAGTGCTGCTCATGAAAGTAAGTACATAGGTAATTTCCAGTCTGAAGTCAGGACAAGAGCATCGTTTTCGTCCGAATTGATGTTTCATCCTCAATTTTGTCCTTTTCTTTTTAAGTCTTTGCCTTTAAGTTTTTAGTACAACTTTCTGGATCTTGTGGTGCCCTCATAGCCTCATGTAATACTAAAAGTAGATGATGACTTCATGAAGTGTTTTTGTCCAAGGTTTTATTTGATAGCAGAAAATGCACTCCGTGAACATAGTTGTTAGTACATATTCCTATCTCTTGCAACATGGTAACCTGTGGAGATGGCAATGGGGCAGATATGGGACAGGTTTTCCATCCCCAGCCCTGTGCCCCGGTTATTATTTGTTGCCCGTGTTCGTGTATGAAAATATTTTTGCCATCTTGTCCCATCCGGAGAATATAATTTCCTGTCTTTGAACTCTACTATTTTATGAAAAGTATAAAAACAAATATAAAAATATGTTATGTAATATGCTATTTTATGTATTCGTAGATATAAACAAACATATAATCTGCTAGCAGGTTGGGTGCCATTGTAGCAGTATCACAACCTATCCCAAGTTTATTTCTTTCTCTTATTTCTCTGCCTGTCTCAGATCCAACTGCTGAAAAAGAAAAGCCCCATCTGAGCATGGCGGTCCGTATACGCGGGTTCATGAATCAAATTGTTTGTAATAACTGAAAATGCAGTGAAGGTCCAGGACCGGTTTACCAGTCTTTACATATTGGTGCTGGATTCATGGTAAGCAAAAGAAGAACAACAATGCTTCTCCATCAGAAGTGAAATGGTCTTCTTAAAGGGAGTTTAGATACGGTTTGCATAGGACTGTAGAGTAGTAGTTTTGCAGCCTTTTGGTTTAAATGTTAATAGGACATTGTCTTAAGAATTCTATCGAGTTTAATGATAGGAGCTGGATGAGGATTATTAGCGTCAGTAGTATCCTGCAGAATAAATAGGAGAGTAGTATCCTAGTTGATCAACAACTAGGCTATTAGCTTCTCTGTACTTGGTCTCAGAGATCCGTGGCCATACCGCAAGCATGGGATTGACAAGTTGTTATCAGAGAGGTTTCTTTTGAGATTACAAGGCATTCCAACAACAGTTCAAGATCTTCCTCAAGCAAGATCGTATTTGGATTCCTCGCAATAAATCAGAAGAAAGGCATTTGTGAATTGACCATCCAAATTGAGAGTCTTCAATGGGAGCTATCTGTTACTACTGGAGAAGCCATAGGCACGGTGGAGTCCAACAACGGGCAGTAGGGGCCAGTGACAGTGCAGGAGGAGGAGGAACCATTCCAAGATTTGCAAAGGAGGACAAAGTGGGGCTGGTGTCTTTTTACCTCAAAGGCGATGGCCAATTGGAGTTCCTTAAATGATACCTGACTTGTATTTAGAGAGTTTTAAGACACTCTACGGTATGTACTTCAGTCTGCAATCTATAGACAACAAGCTCTGCAAATTGGAGACTTTGCTAAAATGAAAAATTGGTGGATTATCAATGGCACTTTGAGCAGCTGGCACTCCATGTGTCCTAGCTGGATCTAAGGGCTAGAAACATTTACTAGTGGTTTGCAAGGCTGCATAATCATTGAGGTGGAGCTGCAACATCATTCTAATTTGACTGAAGCTAGGCTTTGTGAGAGATGTGGGAAGAAGAGAGCTGATTCTTTACCAGTCAGGCACGTTGCCAACAGCCCCAGAAAACCCTTATTTATGAGGAGACTCATCCAAGAGGAGATGAAGTATGAAAGGTAAAAGGACTTTCTTTTAGTTGTAACAGATCTTTTGTTCTAAGAATATGTGTAAAAAGCTCTTGTGGCGGGAATTTATTTACGAACTGTACTGGAGGCTATCATGACTCTTGAGGACCTTGATGAAGAGGAACCATAGATTTCCATACATGCCCTTCCTTGGCCCACTGGTCATTGTGGTTAATGGGGAGCATGTTCAGAGCTGAGGTGTGTGAGTATTCATGAATTTTAGATGATAATCCTTTTTTTCTTGATTTGTTTGTACTACCTCTAAATGGGTTTGAAGCTATATTGAGAGTAAATTAGCTACAAACATTGGGGCCAATTTTTATGGAACTTTGCAGCCATGAAGTTGTCCTTGGCAGTAGGAATTCAAGGATTTGGCATTAGGAGCGCACACGGCTATAGTTTTAGCCTAACAGATGCATACATAGGACCTAAAATGGTTGTTGGTTGACTTTGAATTGATATTTGCTGCTTCGGCTGGTTACCACCTCAATGACATATGAGCATGAAACCTTATTGGAGAGTAACCCCAAACTTATAGTGGTAAAGCCATGTCTCACACTTGGAGAAAGATTAAATTGAGAAGCAAGCTGAGGAAATGCTGTAGCAAGGAATTATTGATCAAGTTTAATCTCCATTCTCCTCCCCAGTCCTGCAAGTTAAATTTCTGTGTACATTGCTTTGCCATCAATTAGAAGACAATTGAAGACAAGTTTCCCATCATTGTGATCGAGGAGCTTCTTGAGGTCTGTATCTTTGGGAATTGCTTGCTTCAGCATCTCCTCAACCTATTGTCAGGCCGTATCAATACCCAAACTTAGAAGAAAATGAAATTGAGAAGTAAGTTGAGGAAATGTTGCAGCAACGAATCATTTGGTCAAGTTAATCTCCCTTCTCCTCCTCAGTCTTGTTAGTGAAATTTCTTTATAGATTAGTGTGCTATTAATTAGAAGACAATCAAAGACATGTTTTCCATCAGTGTGA